TAACATATCAAATAGAATAGCTCAAATAAAAAGCCTGGTGACGCCAAGTGTTGGCAAGGACATGGAGCAATTGGAAATCTCACATGTAGTCAGCGTGTAAAGTGGCTCATCAGGGCCAGCTGGTGGTATGGTGGTTAGGGCATCTGGATCCCATGAGGCTAACGGCACAGTTCATGGAAGTTTGAGAAACATTCTGGGAATGTGTGCACATGTGGCCAAAATCCCGAAAGGAGAACTGGAGAAGGGACTGCAGTGTCACTAGGCTCCATGGGGAGCGCCTTCTCTCTTTCTCCAGTGAGCACACACATGCTCTAGGAAAAAAAAAAATAAAAAGAAAGAACAGAAATTACCCTATCATTCATCATTGGGTGAATGGAGGAACAAATTGTAAGTATAACCATACAAGGGAATACTGCTTAGCGAGAGAAAGTAACAGACTACTGGAACCAGCAGTTGGCGTAACGGCTATGTCACTGAACTCCCATGTAGTTGACTGCGGTTCGAATCTCGGACCCAGTGGCTTAAACTCACACCAGGTGCGTGTGCATGCGTGCCCAAGATCCCGAGAGGAGAATGGAGGAGAAGGGATTGCGGCGTGGCCATCCCCCCGGGCGGTGATTTCTCGCTTTCTGTCTCTTGTTTGTCTGGTGAGCGCACACACTCTATAGCAAAAACCTCTCAAAAAAAAAAAAAGAGAGAAAGAAAGAAAAAGAAAGAAAGAGTGGGACCAGCAGTTAGCGTAATGGCTATGTCGCTGGACTCCCATGTAGTCGACCGCGGTTCGCGTCCTGGACCCAGTGGCTTAAACTCACGCCAAACGCGTGTGTGTGCGTGCGTGCCCAAGATCCCAAGAGGAGAATGGAGGAGAAGGGATTGCGGCGTGGCCATCCCCCCGGGCGGTGATTTCTCGCTTTCTGTCTCTTGTTTGTCTGGTGAGCGCACACACTCTATAGCAAAAACCTCTCAAAAAAAAAAGAAAGAGAGAAACTACTGATGTACACACTGCAGGAATGAAACTGACACATTACGCTGAGTGGAAGCCGGACATCAGACAGTATGTATTACACCATGCTACTGATCTGGAATTGCAGAAGAGGCAAGACTAACTGGTAGTGATAGATTATCAGTGGCTGCCTAGAGCCAGGCCTGGGGCCTACTGACTTGGGATGGGTATGGGGAGTTTTGGGGAGGGGGTGTTGGGAACATTCTATTTTTTAAAATTGAGGGAATAGCAGATGGCGTAATGCTTATGTCGCTGGACTCCACATAGTCGACTGCAGTTGGAGTGTCAGACCTAGAGGCTTAAAACTCACACTACAGAGGGGAGGCGGGGGCGGGGGGAGCAGGTGACATGGTGGTTAAGGGCACTGGACTCCCACATGGCCAACCCCAGGCTTTCTCTCGCTCTTTTTCTCTCTCTCTCTTTCTCGCTCTATTCCTCTAGGGTCAAATTAAAATAAATAAATAAGTGGATAAATGAAGGTTTTTTTTTTTAAAAAAACAAACAAACAAAAACACCTCACACTGGGCACCTGCATGTGTGTGCCCAAGATCCTAAGAGGAGAAGGGTTTCTGGTGTGGCCACCCCCCGGAGGGTGATTCCTTGCTTTCCGTCTCTCTGGTGAGCGCACGTACCCTATAACAAAAATCTCTCTCGGGAAAAAAAAAATTGAGACTATACTTCCATGGGCGTAGACATTTGTCAAAAATCACCTGACTCTACAGTAAAAGTGGGTGTATCATTAACGTCATGTAAATGCAGTGGGCATGGTGGTCAAGGAAGCTGGATCCCATGTGGCCTACTGCGTAATTTGAGTCGTGGCGGCTCAAGCCGTGGCAGCTTGAAAGACATGCCAGGCGTGTGTTTGTGCCCCTTAAATCCCAAGAGCAGAAAGGAGAAGAGACTGTGGTGTGGCCATCCCCCTGGGGGGTGCTTCCTCATTCTCTCTGTCTCCACCTCCAGTGAACACACGTGCCCTAAAACAAAAAAAAACAAAAAGGGCTTACTTTATTGCATTTAAGATATATATATATATATCAAGGGACCGGCAAGTGGTATGGTGGTAAGGGTGCTGGACACCCATGTGGCCAACTGTGGTTCGAGTCCTGGACCTGGCGGCTTGCTTTCTCACTCCTCCCCAAACTCTGTCCCTCTCTGGTCAAATTAAAATAAATAAATAGAGTTAAATAAAATAATTCTTTAAAAAAGATACATATATAGATAAAGCTCCTTTCTTTCTTTAGAGAGAGATTTTTGCTATAGGGTGTGTGTGCTTGCTGGAGAGAGAGAGAGACAGAGATCACCCTCCAGGGAGATGGCCACTCCGCAGCTCCTTCTCCTCCATTCTCTTCTCAGGATCTTGGGCATGCATGCAAACGCACCCAGCATGAACTTTAAGCTGCTGGGTCAGAACTTGAACCTTGGTTGACCATGTGGAAGCCCAGTGATGCAACCATTACACCATGTGCTGGCTTCTAAAGCTACTTTTTATCAACTACAAAAGTGTTTAGAGAAGCCTCTAACACTAGGTTGTTGGGAAAGTCCTGATGTATTTTTGACTTTCCATCCAAAATGCGTCGTGACTCTCCAGACAACCCAGTACATACCCAGGTACACATGGTCCTGATTCACACGTGTTAAACATTTGGGTTTTTAGGTTTTTGCCATAGGGCAAGAGCGACAGAGAGAGACAGTGAGAAGAAAAGTGAGAAATCACCCTGCAGGGAGGATGGCCATACTGCAATCCTGTGTTCTCCACTCTCCTGGGATTCTGGCCATGCACACATACTTGTCCAGTGTGATTTTCAAGTCACCAGGTCCAGGTCTCGAAGCATGGTCAACCATGTGGGAGCCCAATGCCTTAACTACCACACCGTCTGCTAGTGCACATTTTGTTATTTTATTTATTTATTTTAAAAATAATTATTTATCTATTCAATTCCATTTATTATTATTTTTTAAATTTGACCATACAGAGACAGAAAGGGAAAGCGAGGAAGCAAGCTGCCAGGTCTGGGATTCTACTGTGGGTGGCCATGTGGAAATCCAGCTCCTTCCACCACCACGCCACCTGCTGGCCAAAACATTTTGTTAGTTATCTTTTTCATAGAGAAGAAATATTAACAGAAAACATGACATCCTGGTTCTCAGGCCTACTTCCTACACCATCCCACTGGCTAATATGGTCATAAAGTTGTGAGTGTTCTTTACACTCGTTTAGAACAAGTATTCGCAAACATCTCCCTCCTATGGACAAGAATATCGAACTTAATAAGAGCCAATGCACAGGCGATCTGAAATGAGGTGGTTAGTGCTGCAGCTGTAATGATAGTCCCCGGGGCTATGTTACCTAACTTGTTTGAGAAGCTGCTAATGTAATTTGCGTAATTACGAGAGTGTTTATACTGCTCTTTATCATCAGTTTCAAACGTGAGCACAACTTGGCACAAATGGGAATTTAGTGCATTAGGACGTTTCCCCACGTTTAAAATGCGCTGCTTGTAAACTTTCCAATCCGTGATCGATGTGGTTTTAAATGATACAGCTATTAGATTTTAGTGATTTAATTGCAGCTAAGACAGAACGCAGGTATTTGGATAGCCCCCTCTAAGTTCACTGCATAACTGACTATAATCACTTCTAAGCAGGTGGCACACGGAGTCCCTGGTAGCCGGCTGGGTCTGTCTGTCCTACGTGTGAGAGACAGTCACGGGGACTGGCCCGACATTCCTTGCCCTCGTGTCTTTTCTGTTCTCAATCTTCTGTATGTTCTAATGTTTATTTTATTTTTCAGATCTTTGCCACAGGTTGCAGTGAGAAATCAGCACCCAGGGGCGATGGCCACACCACAATCCCTTCGCCTCCAGTCTCCTCGTGATTTTGGACACACACACATGTGCCCAGTGTGATTCTCTTTCTTTTTTTTTTCCTTTCCTTTTTTATTTTTTAAAAAGAATTAGTTTATTTAATTTATTATTATTATTATTATTTTAATTTGACCAGTGAAAGACAGAGAGAGTGAGGGAGAAAGCAAGTTGCCAGGTCCAGGACTTGAACCATGGTCAGCCATGTGGTAGTCCAGTGCCTCAAGCACCACGCCACCTGCTTGCCCCTGTCCAGTGTGATTTTTCAAGTTTCTGGATCCAGGATTCAAACAGTGGCCTCAGCTATGTGGGATCCAGTGCCTTAACCATCACATACCTGCTGACCCCTAATGTTTATATTTGAAACAGTGACATTGCAGAAGAAAAGAAGTTTAGGAAGTTTAGGAAGGTTTTATTGTAATAACAAAGCTGTTAATTTCCCTTTAATGTTTTTAACTCACAGTTGCAGGACTCTCAAAGACTACTAAGTTTAGGTATTCACTAGCAGAATAATTTCTTTTTTGTTTTTTTTTCTTAAAAATGGCAATGAGGGACCAGCAGATGGCATAATGGTTACCTTGCTGGACTCCCATAGTCAACCTCAGTTCAAATCCCAGACACGGTGGCTTAAACTCATGCCGGGTGCATGTTGTGTGCGTGCCCAAGATCCCAAGAGGAGAATGGAGAAGGGACTGTGGCATGGCCACCCCCCTGGGGGGGTGATTTCTCACTTTCTGTCTCTCTCTGTCTCTCTGGTGAACACACGTGCCCTATAGCAAAAACCTCTCTCTCTCTCAATAAAAAGGGCAATGGTTCTGATTAGATAAATAAAATGATGAAATGCTTTGTTTTCTTTATAGGAACCAAAAGCAAAAACAAAGACAAAAACAGTTATAAAAGCGAGTTTAAATTCACAATGGAGGTTTATAGTATTTTTTCCCCTTTAGAATTTGAAAGCTGCACCTTCATTTGCCTGTAGCTTTAGCTGTATCTTTAATTCTCATTGCATATCACAATGGATTGTCCGATGTCATCATGGCAGTGACACAGTGTCACTGGAGCCATCACAGGATTCCGAATGTTACTCATCTAGTGACACGTCCTCTTTGTCAACATCTGGGAATGGCAGCGAAGGTTGCCTCAGATGGCTGTGCCACAGGCACTGCTGGGTGGCTTGTGACTAGCATGGTGGGTCGAGGTGAGGGAATCATGTAAAAGTGCAGAGATGGACTCCTGCCTCCTGTGAAGGGGGACCCCGGAGAATGGAGAGGACAGAGATTCTCCAGCCCTGCAGCTGACACAGGAGGAGACAGAATTCCACCGAGTTCCCCTCGGTTTCTGACAGCTCATCAGACGACAATATAAACGAAGGCCAGGAACAGAAGTGTGGCCAGGGAGGAAGGCGGAGACATCTCCTCTGGAACGTTAATGGTGAGATTTAGGTAAGGAGTAAGGGTGAAGCAAGACGAGAGCAAGGTCCAGGGGAACGCCCCTCAGGTCAGGACGATGGCGACACCGCAGCTGAGGGCTGAGCGTTCTGAGGGAGCAATACACTTCGTTTCATCATCACAGGAAGCAGGTATTCACAGGAGTGATCTGGAATAGGATCAGGGTGACAGGGAACGAGGCGGAGAATGGGGGGGGGGGACCATACGCTCTCCTATACCTGTGTCCGCACACGCTGGACTGTCCCCCCAGGTAGCTTCTTAAAGTCCTTTCTTTGACAGAGCAGAATCATTAAGAGAAAGGGATGTAGGAAGGATTTGACATCTTTGAAGAGTCTCTCTCTTTTTTTGGAGAGGTTTTTGATACAGGGCGCATACGCTTGCCAGAGAGACAGAGAGACAGAAAGTGAGAAGTCACCCCCCAGGGGGGATGGCCACGCCGCAATCCCTTCTCCTCCATTCTCCTCTCGGGATCTAGGCCACGCGCGCACACACGCCCAGCGTGAGTTTAAGCCACCGGGTCCGGGACTCCAATTGTGGTCAACTACATGGGAGTCCAGCAACATAGCCATTATGCCAACTGCTGGTTCCTGAAGAGTTTCTTTTTTAAAATCTGTCCTTTTTTGTGACCTAGAGCTCTGACATCTTGAATAGATCCCTTATTGTACCTGAACATCTTGTTCTTTTCATTTTTGTCCTGTGAGTTGGCATAATGGGTCAAATTTGCAATTCAAAACCACCTGTATCCTGTCTCTCATGCACGGTGATGCATACAGGTGCCTTCCTTGGTTTCAAACTCACAAGCTTTATGTCTTTACCTGGAAATACTGAAGTCCTTGTTGCCATATTGTTCTAGAGTTCTGTAAACTTAAAAAATGGTTAGCTTGAGGCCAGCAGGTGACCTAGTGATGGAGGCACACACGCCCACATGGTTGACTATGGTTCGAGTCCCGGACCTGGAGACTTGAAACTCACGCTGGGCACATGTGCGTTATGTGCCCAAAATCCCCAGAGGAGAATGGAGGAGCAGGGATTGCAGTGGGGCCATCCCCCCATGTGGTGGTTTCTCACTTTCTGTCTCTGTGTTTCCAGCGAGTGTACATGCCCTATAGCAAAAATCTCTCAAAAAAAAAAAAGGTTAACTTATATTTTTCAATTAACTATCTCTTGAAGGGAATGAAATCCATTTATGTTAATTTTACTTCTTTCAAGCTTAAATGAGTGGAACTGAGTTATGTCTAAAAGGCCATCTTATTCATGCTCTTCTTTGTGCTTAGAAACTTGAATTACTGGAGTCAGCAGGTGGCTTGGTGGTTAGGGGCTGTGTATTCCCACACCACCAACTGTGGTTTGAGTCCTGGACTTGCTTTCCTTTTCTCTCTGTCTGGTCAAATTAAAAAAATAATAACAAATGGAATTAAATAAATAAACACATATTTTAAAAAAACCTTTAATTACTTAAAATGGACATTGCAATGGGAAGGACTAAGCTGTGGGGATGAGCTTTTTTCTAAAGCTTTGGATTTCCTTTCAATAATGAGTCTTTTCTTTTTTTTTTTTTTGTTGATAGTTAGGACATTATCCGGTAAGAGCGTTATGAATTTCTCCTAGACTGAGCGTGAAGAAATAATTTTTCTATGCACGTCAATGCCTATACTTCCTTTTTTAAAAAATAGAATATGTAACTAAAGCCGTCCTTGGTTTGTAATAAGTTAGAGCTCAATTTAAAGTTCACGTGTAGAATATCACTCATTCTGGGAAAATGGACACAAATACTTAACGCTTCAGTACTTTCTGATCTACTATTACATTAAAACCACTTTAAGACTCGTTCTGGATCACACGTTTTAAGGGCGTGATTCCATCTTCTTTCGGGCAGAGGTCACAATACGTTAGTAAGGCAACAAAGGGTAGACACTGTCGTCCCGGGTCGGAGTCGGCTAACGCTCTGGGCTAACGCTCTGGGAGTTATTCCGAACCTTCGCGGACGACGCCTGGCTCTACGCTGGCGGTTGGGAGAAACTCACACTCCGGCCTGAGTCCCCAACGCTGGCTCGGACCGAGGGGCGCCCCGGTACCCACAGAGACTGGTGGGAGGCGCCGCGGGCCGGCGTCCCCTCCCCGCCGAGGGCGGGCCGAGAGCGAGCGCGCCGCGGCGCCTTCCCCGCCCGCTCGACGCCCCTGCGGCTCGGACTTCCCGGCCAGACCACAACTCCCAGCATGCACGGCGCTCCCGCGCGGTCGGAGGAGCCGTTTCCGGTCTGGGCCAGCGCGGCTGCGCGCGGGCTGCGCTCTTATTGGCTCAGGCCGCCTCGTGCGATGCGCGTCAGGGCGACGTGCGGCC